TGTCCGTCTGCTCTCACTGTATGACAACCAGATCACCACCGTGGCCCCTGGCTCCTTCGACACACTGCATTCCCTCTCTACCTTGTAAGTCACATTTGTCTTTTACCGCAGCCAGATTTAAATCTCTGGCATTTTGGGGACCTTTCCCTGAGTGATTTGCTATGTAATTTCACAGCAGGTGGTTAAGGGGAAAAGGAGTTAAATGCAAAAAAGAGTTTGTAGAGGGACTTTTGGGACAGTTTATTCTCTGGACCGTCTTGGGTACTTGAAGAATATGTTTTCATGGTGCCTTGTGATGCAGTGTTAGACTGGTTTCCAGAAGCGCCTGATAAGGCAGGAGAAACATCCTGCTCACTCCCCTCGCAAAAGCCCACTGCTCCAAAACCTGGTTGAAAGCCAAATTTGGGGTAGGCAACGCACAATCACAGCTGGTTGAATCACCATGTTGGCTGTCTTTCTGCCTTGTGCCACCCGATTACTGTTTTAAATTTCATTGGCCTGCTGAGAATCTTAATTCATGCATATTTTATAATGAAGCTTCACTCTCATTTTCTATTTTAAAAAATCCTTTTTTTTCTTTAAATGTGATGTAAGAGAAGTGAAAACAGTGAGCAAAGCTGCCACTCAGTTTAATGAAGAAATGCTGGTTGTAGGTAGCATAATTCAGGAAAGTACTTAATCCCCTGTTTACATAAGAAGTGACACCTTACACCCAGTGACTAATTTTGTGTATTAAGGATGACATGTTTATAAATAATGGAATTGTTGATAGGTTTGTTCTGAAGTAGGGAAATGCCAAAAGTACTGAGACTTTTGGAAGTAAATTCATTTTTGTAACTGGCATGTAATCAACTTAGCTGTCACTTCAGATAGGAAACTTACTCTCTGGAGCAAATAAAAGATGGAAATCCTGAGATGGTAAATTAATAGAATAGCTGTTGTCAGGTTAAGGCTAATAATGTAAAGTAATCAGCCTGCAGCTCTATATGAAATTATTGCATTATCAGTACAGAGTGGCTTGACATGAAGTCAGGTCTTTGACAGTTTTAAATTAT